TGTTTCTATCACACAGAGCTTGTTCAGTGAGTGCAGCAGACTTGTGGCTGATCTGTGCACAGAGTTTGTGCTGAGAAGTATCACTGCAGACCCCGCCCCCTCAACAGACCCCGCCCCCTCTGCAGACCCCATCCTCATCACAGACCCTGCCCAGTCTGCAGGCCCCGCCTCCTCTGCAGACCCTTTGCTGAAGAGAATGAAATCCACTGTGGCCAATCAGATGCAGAGAGAGGAGAGACACGCCCACACACACCTGCGCACCCTTCGAGAGCAGCTGCAGCACCACAGACAGGTACGTCATACACACAGACACACACACACACACATACACACATTCTCCTCAGTAATGCTTATATCCACAGCATTATGGGATGTGCTGATGTGTGTGTGTGTGTGTGTGTGTGTGTGTGTGCGTGTTTTTGTGACGTATCAGGACACAGATCTGTATAATGACATGGGTGTGACACAGGTATTACAAAAAGCAGGTGAAATATGGGGACATTGGTGACGTTCCCATTTCTCAAAATGCTACAGGATGAGTTTAATCAGAGTAAAGCTGCACACTGACTCCTGTGGGGGTTGGGTTTAGGGGTGGGGTGGGGGGGAGGGCAATACTATATATGGTTTGGACAGTATAAAATGAATGGAAACCTATGTAATGTCCCCACTTTTCACAAAAACAAACGTGTGTTTGCGCGCACAGGTGTGGCAGGAGGGCGGGGCTCTGAGTCTCTGGCGCCTCCTTCAGTTTGGAGATCAGCAGCGGCGGCTCTTCAGCACAGCGGCGGCACAGCACAGGTACAGCAGCACACCTGACCGTCACGGAGGAACACTGAGCGACTGACTGATGACTGATTTCATTATTGATGACTGATTTCTTGATTGATTGATTGATGATTGATTGATTGATTGATTGGTGAATGATTAATTGATTGATTGATGACTGATTAATTGATTGATTGATTGATTGATTGATTGATTGATTGATTGATTGATTGATTGATGACTGATTGATTGCAGCGTCGCTCTGCTGGAGGATCAGCAGCATCTGTTGATTCTGGAGTTGCAGAGAGTTTTATCAGTGCGATGCTTTTACCTGCGCTCACTGAGAGAGATGAAGCTCACCGCACAGTCAGATACACAGGTACACACACACACACACACACACACACACACACACACACACACACTTCTGCTGTGTTTTATGTTGTAAATGCTTTAAACTTATCCTCCAGGACTCCAGTGTTACTGTAGAAACGGTTCGGTCTGAAGAGGCTGTGATTGGTCAGAACCCTCTTGACGAGCAGCTGTCAGAGCTGGAGGCGGCGGCAGATGTGCTGCGGGGAAACGCCCATTTCCTGCTAGGCCACGCCCTCTGCTGTACGGTGAGAGGAGAGAGCGGCGGCGTGTGGAGAGACAGACGAGCACAGGTATACACACACACACACACACACACACACACACACACACACACAGAGCTCAGAGTCACTGGATGACCATACTCACGATCTCAGAACACATATTACTTGTTAATAAACACTCATGACCGCACCCTTCACCAGTATTACCTGTGTGTGCAGGAGCGGCTGCTGGACGCAGTGTGTGCGAGTGTGTATGTGAGCCGGGACTCTGTGGCGTCTCTCATCCGCCAGTATTACTCTGAGCTGCA